TTCATTAGTCCATCTTTTTACAGTCCTTAATACAGGTTTAGCTGATTTCAGTTTCTGCCTGTAGGGCGGTATAAGATGAACCAAACAGTGATCAGAGAGCCCCAAAGCTGCCCGTGGAACAGAGTGATATGCATCCTTTATTGTGGTGTAACAGTGATCCAATATATTACCGTCTCTGGTGGGACATGTGATGTGCTGTCTGTATTTTGACAGTTCACGGGAGAGATTTGCTTTATTAAAGTCCCCAAGAATGATTAAAACAGAGTCCGGGTGTTGTTGCTCTGTCGCTGTGATCTGATCAGCTAGTTGTTGTAAAGCCGAGCTCACATGCGCTTACGGAGGAATGTAAACACTGACGAGAATGAACGAGCAAACTCCCGCGGCGAGTAGAAAGGCTTACAGTTAATGAAAAGCGCTTCTAGATCTGAACAGCACATCTTCTTTAACACGGTTACATCTGTACACCACTTTTCGTTGATGTAAAAGCAGGTCCCGCCGCCGCGAGATTTTCCTGTTGATTCTGCGTCGCGGTACGCTCTGACCAGCTGAAAGTCCGGCAGATTTAACACGCTGTCCGGTATGGCGTCATTCAGTCAGGTTTCCGTGAAACACAGAGCAGCAGAGTGTGAGATATCCTTATTTGTCCGGGAGAGCAGAAGGAGTTCGTCCATTTTGTTGGGTAGAGAGCGGAGGTTCGCCAGATGGATGCTAGGCAACGGCATTCGAAATCCGCGTTGCCTGAGCTTCACGAGGGTGCCGGCTCGCTTCCTGAAGCGCTTGATCAGCGCAGCTGCTCCGCCAACTACTATGTCTAGCAAAACATCAGAATAGTCGAAAACCGGTAATATATCGGGTGATGTGTAGTGCCGAATGTCCAGCAATTCATCTCTGGTGAAACTGATTGCAGGGATATAACTAAAGACAGGACAAACTAACAAAAACACAAAAACAACTGCAGAGCATGCCACGGAGGCCGCCATCGTCATCGGCGCCATCTTGACACTATCTATTCCAAGAATAATAATTTAATATACTTGAGTAGTCAAAGCCGCCATTAGTTACTGATAATTGATGCATATGCTTATCATACTGCAAATTACACATGTCAAAGTGGTGCACATTGAATTCTCTTAAATTAAACTTGCCTGACATTCTATAAAGACCTAGATGACTCAGAACATTCATAGACATACAATAGCTTGGATTCTAGATTTCTCCCACACTGCCCAAAGTTGTAATTGTTGCTGTCTATCTTGTGAATGATTATGATTGTGAAGTGAATGGAGAAATTTACCGGTAAGGGTTTGGTGACTCCGATTCGTACGGCGCCCAAGGCAGTGCTCTTCAGGACATGAATGGCCAGAGCCAGACTCGCATGGCTCAAGTCAGTCCCGTTCACGAACATCAACAGGTCGCCTGGCAACAAGCGGCTATCTCTCTCTGCCAAGCCGCCTGCTACTAGAGAGCGGATCACTATCACTGCACGCCCTGGGTTCATGGGGTCCTGAGAGAGTTTCAGAAAGTGACAGCGCAAGAGAGAGAAGAATAGTAATAAATTAGGAGACACTGCTGCCATGTTGTAGAAGGATTTCAAACCAACTAGGACTTGTAGAAGATTTTCAGGGATCTTAATTCAATATAATACATATAATTATGCCTAAACAAGACGACATTATTCTACAATTATTATTTTAAAAGACTATGTGAAATAACTGTGAGTTAAAAGCTGCAGTAAAAGAACTGAATGAACTATTTAAAACTTGAAGACCCTGCATATATGGAAACGATCTGTTCAAGACCTAGAAATATACATGACAGCTATTGATCATTCTATATATGGTAAGGAACATCTGTCTAAAAATACAACAATACATATATGGAATTATGTAACCAGCTCCAGGCATATATATATATATCTGTGTAGAAAAGACATTCGGGAGTTGCCTTTGCAAACCGTAACTCGGCTTTGTTGTTTGATCAATAAAGTCTACTGGCTTCAAAACCTCTTTAGCAATTTCTTTTGAACAAGGAAAATTCCACAACAGACTCCTCAAACCAACTGATATGGGGCTCATACTCTGCTGCTCCCTTCTTGTTGTAGTATTGGTACACACACACACACACACACACACACACCTGGTAGTCTAGTATACTGAATCCCAGACCAGAATCGCCTTTCTGCAGCTCATAGACTTGAATCTCGTCCTCCCACATGGCCTGATAGGATAGCACAGGAGCTTCTGTCTTCCATTCATCCTCTCTGCGTGCAAAGAGACCCCCAAATGACTTCTGCTCGGCCTGTGAGAAAAAGTGGATAGAAGGAGAAAAGAAAAAGAAAAAGTCAATATTATTTTGCAGTAAAGCATGAGTGGAATCATGTTTCCTCATTTGAAAAAGGACAGCAGTGTTAATTTGTTTAATTTGCTATTTTGTATACTTCATTTTATTATAATGTTAATTGGGAATACTCTGTAACACATTATTTTATGGTGCCTTTATTACACATGTTACATGTACTTACTAAAATAGTAATAAATTATGCATAATTACATGCAAGTAACCCTAAGCCAAACTCTAATCCTAACCTTAACCATATAGTAAGTACATGTAGTTAATTATTACTACTCGGTACTTAAATGCATAATTACACTGTAACAAGGACACCTTAAAATAAAATGTAACCGAATAATTTTATTCTTATCCTCATCTAAGGCATTCCACAGTCAGTACCTTTTTATGCTACTTCCACATTTTTTTTCCTTTGTTATTTTTGGAACTTCACTGTATAATTGCTCATAAGAGATTGACAAGTATGTTTATAATTTTTGTCCTTTTGTGTTACACAGAAGAAAAAGGGTCATGTGAGTTTGAAACAACATGTGTGTCAGTTAATACCCTTTGCCAAAAAGGAGTCCAATTTAGCATAGTTCTAATAAACAGTATTTCTTATGCAAATAATATACTTCAGTGCTAACTGAATGTTATATTTTTATGCATGTTATTTGCAATAAATGTATTCACATTTAAATTGATATTAAATGCAATTAGTTGAACTTTAGAGTTCTTATTGACCCTCTTAAGCAGGGTATATTTACTATAAAATATGGGTGAAGTGTACTGCTGAATGTACTGACAACCATTTATGGTAATTAAAATATACCTTAATATCATTTCTATTGAAAGTTTTATGTAATGGATTTTGAAATTGCAATTTAGTACATGTAAAACATATGAACTTGTAATATGTAATATCAAACAACAGAGTTGGATGAAGTGGATTAAAGCCCTGCACGGGTCTCAAATTTAGCCCGTCTTTTTCACCTTTTCCCAAAAAAAAAGCTTATAGCCTACAACTGTTTCAGCTATTAAAATAGTTCAGTTTTGTATGTAATGGAAAAGTGATTATATTTCGTTTCGTTTTTTTATAAAGTAAATTTAGAAAAACATTTGGAGTATTTTCTGTTCGTTAAATGTAGGTTTATTATTATTTTTATTTTTTTTAAGTAAGGGCCAGCGGCAGACAGTGAATTGATCATAGCCTATAGCCTATGTTTGATCAATTTAGCCTTCTCAAATCATCAGGACTTGCCTAAAATAAAATCTACATATAAAACAGTTCAAGTATATCCCAATGTTAGTTTAAATGTTTAACCTATATAAATGTGCGCTGTTAGACTCATATCCAATCGTTTGCGGAGAGTGGAAGCTGAAGCTCTGCAGGACATGGAGGCGCCAGTGCGATCACTTGCATTTTTTTCGAACAGTGGAAACAACTTAAAATACGCAGTCATTTTTGCTCAAAAAAGTTAAGAGTAATACATCATTCTAAACTGTAAAGCTGTAAACTGTAAAGCTAGTTTTATTTGTGTGCACTCACAATATCAACAAATATTTGCTTTTATAAAATAAAAAAAACAAACGCTTTCTGCCGTCTCGGTCTTGAACAGGAGCGCTTCACAATGATGAACCTAAACTCAGACATGATCAAAATATATAGAAAGCTTTAAATGACTATTTTAAAACTATTTTATAAACTCTTTCATTATGTAATCTGTGCATTTCTCTGTAAAGACACATCCAATTAGGAGATGGCCAGTCATTTTTTCATCACTATAATTGATGGAAGGCCCGATTATAATTTGCGTTTTATTTTATAATTCCGAACAGTTAAAACAATAAAACACTAATTATAATGGCATATATGAAAACTTTGTACTATAAATGTATAGCTGCTTTTTCTGCTTTTTTTGTTGCTCTGTTCTGAATACCTTAAAATTTACAGGATTTGCTGCAACGCAATTTTGTATGATATGTTAATTATTTATATTTTTTATCCATGCGGCAAATGCTTTAAAAAACAGCTTTAAAATTACTCTATTGCATTCCAGATGCTTTTAAAGTCCTTTTCACTATACATTTTACGGGTAGCTGGAATGTAAACATTGTCATGAATTCGTTGTATTCCCATTTGTAAAATAGCCAACAAATTAATTGTTGTAGGCTAACCCGATTTCATGAAAGTGCGTATAGCATGAATTTCTGCTTCTATTTGGCTTTGGCATGCAAAAGACTGATAAATTCATAATTAACGGCATGGGTTCAGTCCAAATGTTTGCGGGGCAAATCTCAGATCAGTCTGAGCACTCATGGTACGCACTGTGCGTACAGCCCTACACCTGCAGGCGCCACAGACTCGGACGGTTGTCGTGGTAATAAACACCGTAAACAGCAAACGTTCGCGTGTCCGGGCTTAATGCGCATATCCTAAATGAAAAGCATTTTAGGGGGCCCTTGGCTTTTGGGGGCCCAAGGCGGTCGCCTACCTTTGCCTAATGGGTAAGTCCGCCCCTGCAAACAACACACTACAGTTAAATTCATAATCAAGTATTTTACATGTCCTTTGTATGTTAGTCTATACATCAAAATATAATGATTTAAAATGTAATTTAAAGTAAAATGATCAATTTGACATTATTACAAAGAACAATTTTTGGTAACACTTTGGAATAATGGTCCGTTGTTAACAAGTAACTATGCAGGAAGTAATAGGTAGTACTTAATTAACACATAACTTAATACTATTAACTAATAGAGGAGCAAGATTAACTAAGCAAGTAGTAGCAAATTTAGGACAAAGGTAGTTCTTTATTAGATATTTGATAATTACTAAATAACAATATCCTCATTGAGAACTACTTGCGAACTATGACCAGTTAATAAAGAATAACCAATTAATTGCTAATCACAACAGTAACGCCTTAAAAGTGAACAATTGGGTTATTTGTGGAAACTAATTTATGAATTTGATATCCCCCAAATAAGTTGGCTGCATTTTAAAATTGTGACTCTTACCAAAGGATGGACGTTCTCTGTTTATTTCAAACTTAAACACAGAATAATAATAAAAATGATAATTCACTTAAAAATGTTAATAATTAGGAAGTGATGCAGACAAGCTCATGATTTAATTAGTTCACAATTATGAGCAGTGTTTCGTGTCAGTTCAATATGTATCCCACTCCAAAAGACCTACTGGTAAAATATCACTAGTGCTTCACACAAATATGACTGTACAGTATGTGTCAGATATAAAATATGTTAAATAACTTATTAATTTACTTGTGAGTAATTACTGAGTGGTTAAGGTGTTTTTCCACTTTAAAATAATGGTCCAGATTTAAAAAAAATGTATTTAAGTGCATTATGTGCTTACAATTTAGTACAATACTATTACACTTGTACAATACAAATGCACACTGACTACAGCGAAGCACATTTCTTTTTCACAAGGGCAGTGCATTGCACAAACATTTAAACTTTTCCTTTAAATATCATGATGCACAGACACAGGAAACCTTTTCATTAAATTCTGCTAGTAGCTCCTTGAGCGTGAGTTGTACATCGACACCATCATCATCTTCCTCTCCGACTGTGGGTAGGATGAGACGACTGCAAACCACACAAACATTCACAGGAAGTTCCCTCAGCAAGCTCACAACTTCCTTATGTGTCTCACCAATCAGAGAGAACCTGTTCACCTACAGACAGAACAAACACATCACCAAACACATTGTTCTGCTGAAATGATCCTCTGGGCTTTTCTACTGACAGGAAGGGCTATTTTTAAGTAGCTGTCATGATTGATATTCATGTGCAGTCAGCACTGAATAAAGTGCTATGCATAGAAAACAGAATGCAGAAATAAAGATGAGCGCTTTTAGTTATTTTGCATGCATGTGTTAGCAGGCTTTATGATAAGGGATTACAACAGTGTAATCTATAAACAACAGTATTATCTGTGCGTAATGCTTGTTTGACTTTGAAGTATAACCAAATATAATTTCCATTAGCATTTTTAGGTAAATACATTTTATAGTAGTGTTTGTATGTGTAATGTGAGATATTCTACATGACTATGTGGACACCCCCTTTCAATTATAATATAAAGTGAACCTCTAGCAGCTCGTCTCCAGGCCTTATGATTCCTGTCTGTCCAATCGGACCCTCTGGCAGTATGGAGCAGATATAGTGATGACCTTCCTTAGTCTCCAAACTCACACAAAGACCACTACTCTCAGTGAACTTCTGTACCTGCGCCACCTGCACGCACACACACACACACACACACTGTAAATATAAATGTATTAGCATATTATATATATATATATATATATATATATATATACTGTATATATTGATATACAAATATACAGTAGACATGCACATACATCATAAACAGGCATATAAAGAGACACATACTGAACATAACATATGCTGACACACACTCAAAAATCTACACACACTCTGTATATATATATATGTTATTATTTTATATATATATATATATATATATATATATATATATATACTGTATATATTGATATACAAATATACAGTAGACATGCACATACATCATAAACAGGCATATAAAGAGACACATACTGAACATAACATATGCTGACACACACTCAAAAATCTCAGCCACGGAAATTAACTGTCAGCTAAACAGGACAGAATACAGATGAGACGCACCATGACTTCATATTGAGGACCCAGTTTGCTTTTCCACTTCTCCTTCAATATTTCCTCCTCTTCATCAGACAGTTTGCAAACTAAAACAAAATTCCCAAGCATCACACAGCTAATAAATAAATGACAACATGACTGAAGAGAACAGACTACAAAAGACAATATTTTCATCATGTCAGTTACATTGTGATAGAGTCAAGATTTGTATTTCACACTTTATTTATATCTATGTTAGAAATCACCAAGCAAACTAAAGAAATCTTAAAGGAATATTTTGGGTTGTTTACAGCTTAATGTCTATAGACAGTATTTGTGACATGCTGTCGATTAGGGTTGACTGGACAGCAGAAAAAAATCGTAAATGTAAATAAGCTAACAATATAATGGTGTACAGTTAGGAAAGCAAAATAAATAGAATTATCAACTTTTAAAAGCATAACGTTTCAAAGGATGAAATGCTTGTCATATCTTGATGTCAAATTCATACAGTGTTTTGGCATAAAAGCTCGAAAAGACACCTTAAAAGACAACACTTAAAATGTACTGACCCTCAGGCCACCCAAAATACAGATGCATTTGTTATTTATAGGAACAGTTTTAGAAAAATTTAGCATTACATCATTTGCCCACCAAGGGATCGTCTGCAGTGAATGAGTGCAGTCAGAATGAGAGATCAAACAGCTGATAAAAACATCACTATAATTCACCAGTAACCCACACGACTCCAGGCCATCAATTAACGTTTTTGGACTGTTTTAGTCTGTAAATATCTGCATATTTCACTCCTGATTCAGACAAGACAACTTTTCACTAGAGAAAGCAATATTATGGCTAGAGGATTTGTATTTTAGCCAGAATCAACGCTTTGAAGTTAAAAACATCCAAATTATGATTTTGTTTATTACAAACATGCAGTTTTATCAGCTGTTTGAACTCTCATTCTGATGGCACCCATTCACTGCAGAGGATCCATTGGTAAGCAAGTGATGTAAGGCTAAATTTCTAATAAATTAAAATTCTCTGCAAACAATGCTTAAATCACAATTATATCTGTATATTATAGTAGATACCTGAGGTGCAAGTCAAAATGAGTGGCGGTGATAATAATGGTAAATAAATCTGTTCTTACACGAGGACTGGTTTCTATTCTTCATCTTGGACTCTAAATTACAGGTTTGCGTTGACTCAACTGAGGTCACAGGAAGAACAAACAGAAACAGAAGCTGTTATTAGAATCAAAGTAGGGTCAAATAGTTACTAAGACTTCACACAGAGAATGGGCCAAAGTGAAACTGAACTCATGAATCAAACACAGTGTGAATGAGTGCAAATAAACAGAAGTGGCAAGAGTTTCACTAACTGCACTCTCTGTTGAAGTTGAGGTCCCGGCGTTCAGTATAGAAAACTTTCCTTGGGGGCAGAACTGGCTTTGGCTCTGGTAGACATGGAGGCAGTGGAGGGGGAAGGAGACCCAGGGGGGTTAAGGGTCTCTGAGAGATTGTGGACATTGTGGGGGTTGTTTGTGTTCCAGATGATGAGCCCTTTCTCCGAATAGAGATCTCCACTTGTTGGCCAGTGAGCAGGATCTCCTCCGCTTTCTGTATAAGGATAAAACAGGTAATTATAACTATTTAACATTATATTTGAAAGGCATCCTTTATCATTTAATGGCTCTGAACTGCTAATGGTCATGCTTCTGTTTAGTTTATCATTAACAACAATTAGAGTACATGATTATAACTGTTTTTCACAAAAAAACATTATAATATAACATTATAATTATTATAGTGTCACATTTAGCTTAATCATTATTTAGTGTGAAATAACACCAGATGATGTCTGTGTCTTTCAGAATTTCTGCATGTTAAGATAAATAGTTCCAATCCAAAACAACCATATGCTAACACAGTTCAATTTTTCTCTTCAGAGCTTATGGCACGCATTGATTTTCATGCTAAATAGCTCTTGCTACAACATCAGTACTGAAAATATTGATGCTTCAGGAATGATTGGCCCAACCCCAGACGCTTTATCCCTCTATTTTACCACAAAGCAAGCAAGCATTTTTCAGAAATGTGCCTAGTATACATTGTAATGACGTTGTTTGTGATAATTTTGACCGTGGCAAATCTTATGTAGAAAAATATAATAAAATAAATTACAATAAACATCAGACAGAAGTGTATTTCAACAGTGTGCACACCAGTCAGAGAGTCTCATCATGTGAAAAGTCATTGCATTATTTAATGCTTCAAATCTGAGGTCTCTAAAACCCCAAACATAATTAATGCAAAACTTTTCATCGAGGACGTTTGAAGTGTGTTATGAAGCAAGTTGAAATTCTCTTTATAATAAGCTCATTAGAAAAGTCATGAAGTATTAACCCGATACTTCAGTGTTGTTGTTTTTTTTTACCAAAATGACACTGAAACCCCAAACAGAGGAAGAGGGTTGGTCTAATGACACATTTACACAAATACAAACACATATCTAGTGACAATGTAATTAATCATACATACATAGTACTACCATTCTACCTAAAACAAACACTATAATCTAAACAGCCTTTCCACGCACACACACAACAGAAACAACAACAGGATTATTAATTGCTATAGCATAATTTGCTACAACATAATTAGCAATAAATTGCTTAAAACCACTAAGAACTACTGTTTAAATGTACATGCACACACAAGGAAAGTAAAGAGATGTAAAAAAATAAAATAAAGATCTGTATGGAACTCACAGCAATGATGCCATCTCCAGTGTGAATTAGTCCATCCTGATCCACTGCATTTTCTTTCAGTATGCTCTTTACTTCAAATCCACTGGACTCTAAAACGCCGAATATTCATTTAATGTTTACATTTATCATTCTTAGACTGAATGGGAAAAAAATATCTAGCTGAAATAAAAAACAGTAAGGAATCATACCTTTGTCCAGGTTATTCAGAGATTTGGAGATGTTGACGCCCAAACCATTTTTGTTGTTACTGAATCTGACATTGAACTCTTTTTCCTTTTTCTCTACTAAATCCTGCAGAAGGGTAATTCTTTGTTCACTATTGGCACATCAAACAAGACATAATAAAGCAGCATTTATGATAACAACATGTAATCAAGATTAAGGATTTAAAAAGTGTGATTAAATTTCAAATTTTACAACAAATTCTACTGTATATCTCTTTCTATTACATTGACACTCTCACTTAACCACAAACTCCTTGCGTGTTAATGTCAATGTGAATGTCAAACAATGTTTGCTGATTGAGTGTGAGTGTGTTTAAGAAATAATTTCAGCTTAATAAATTTTAAATATAATGTTTGTCACATTTTATTAACCTTCATGTCATCCCAAACCTGTATAATAATTTTAAAATAATTTTAAAAAGGACAGTTCACCCAAAGCTGTTTGGTTATCAACAATTCTTCAACAAAATATCTTCTTTTGTGTTCAGCAGAAGAAAGTCTTCAGGTTTGGAATGACATGAGGATAAGTAAATGGTGATAGAATCTTTATTTTTGGGTTGACTGTCCCTTTAAGAATTGTTACGCAGCTTTTTTTACCATACAATAACAGTTCACAGTGACCTTAAAAAATGACAAAAACACCACAAAAGCAGCATTAATGTGGTGAAAACTGCAATTTACTGAATTTGTTGTGTTCTGTGGAAGAATGAATGTCAAACATGTACAAAAAATACATGAATGTGAGTAAATGATAACAGAACTTTATTTTTTGGGTGAGCTATACTGTTTATATGACATATGTGTATTTATATATATATATATGTGAAAACACACACACACACACACACACACACACACACATACAGAAGCATTTTGCACCTGTTTCTTTTGAGAGTCCAGTTGCTGGGCGATGGTAGGTGAGAGGGCACCATCAGTGGTTTCCCTGGCAATGATAAGTCTCACACAGGAACCAGCAAGACAGAGCTCACGTGCCACTTCCTCACTGCCCATGGCGGACACATCCACATCACCAATTCTGAGGAGAAGATCGCCACTACGCAATCTCCCATCCTGTGTGCACAAACACACATCCACAAATGTCAAGGCATTTGTCACTCTTCTGAATTTTAATCAGTTTGTACAATCCACAAATTAAATCATTTAAATAATGGTGTACGTGAATCCATGATGATTCTCTCATACCTTTCCAGCTACACCATTAGGTAGGATGGTTTTAACCATGGTGCCAGTACTCCTCCCTCCAATGATGCCAAAGCCTAGACCCGATCCGTCATTCTGCAACTCTATATGATGTCGAGGCTGTGGAATCAAATTAAATTAGTGGAATAAGCCTAATTATAATACAGGAGAGACTGGGGCTAGTTATCACACTTACTCCAGTTAATATCAGGGTAGGTTTATTTTTAAAAGTAATTTTCTGTATAAGCAAATGTCTTAGTCATGGCTACAAAAGCTGTTGAATTATTGAATACAAATACAATTCATTTACCACATGTTGACCTTGTGTGCCACATTAGCAGGGAATGTCACACTTTATTGGGTAGGTTGTCAAGGTGGAACCTGCCATTAACAGCATATTATTGTTCCCTATCGATAATTCACTTGTTCTGCATCTGCTAAAGACGCTATGGGAAAAAGCCATTTTTCTCCTGAACTGAAGCCATTGGTTCGTGCAGTATATAAAAAAACTAACCAATGGCGTTTGCAACAGGATTCTCAGATTTCTTCTCCTTCAGGGATGACAAACTCTACGCCAGGGGTGTCAAACTAAACTCCTGGAGGGCCGGTGCCCTGCAGAGTTTTGTTCCAACCCTGCTCCAACACACATACCATATAGTTTTCTAATAAGCCTGAAGGCCTTGATTAGTTGGATCAGGTGTGTTTAATTAGGGTTGAATCTAAAATCTGCAGGGCTCTGGACCTCCAGGAACTGAGTTTGACACCCCTGCTCTACGCTGATTCCGAAGCCTGCTTGCCGTTGACACACCTTGCAGCTGGATTGGGACCTCCTCTGCTCGGCCTCAGCGACGCAGCAGTTCCGGTCCATTTCCCCTGCCGCCATCCGGCGATTCTAAAAGACCTTACTAAAAGAGCTTGGCGTTGTTGCAAATGCCACGCCGCTACTGCGGTTCATGCGGGTCTCCCCTGCACGCCGATGACGGCCTCACGGAGTGCGTTTCCTGCTTGGGGAAATCCCACGCGGAAGCTGCGCTCACAGGAACTGATTGTTCTCACTGCGAGAACTTCAGTCTCGCCTCTCTACGCTCGTGGATCGCTTTCTTTTCAGAGAGCGACTCCGCCCCTTGCGCCCTCCCGTCTTCTTCCTCCCAGGGACCTGTGAGGAAAAAACAGCGGGGCAGAGGACTCGAGTGTCCAGCTGCGAGCGAGCTCACGACGGCCCAGATCCCCCGTGCCTCGCCCTCGCCTCAGAGAGAGAGTTCACCCGTCCTCTTCTCCCAGTCTGACCAGCGTCCCTCTGTCGGCACGAGCGATCTGGTCTCGTTTGGGGGTAGTGAGGACGAGCTGCCCGATGACAGCATGTCATTGACAACCTTGGACGTAGAGGAGCTGTTGCGCTTGGAAACCGACCCCACCACCTTGCCGTCGTCCACACCCAGCGCCGCCAAAGACGGGATGGATGCCGAGCTTCTCCGTATCCTCTCGAAAGCGGTTGAAGAGCTGAGTTTAGAGTGGTCTCCACCAGAGGAGCCCTCTCACAGCCGTCTGGATGAGTGGTTCCTGCCGGGGTGCCATCAGGCCCCTTGTCAGCATTCCTCTCCATTCTTCCCGGAGGTCCATGACGAGCTCACCAGATCATGGTGCGCTCCCTACACCGCCCGCCTCCGTACTTCCGCTTCATCCGCCCTCACCTCTATCGATGGCGCTGAAGAAAAGGGGTACGACAAGCTGCCTCCCCTGGACGAGTCAGTGGCCACGCACCTCTGCCCGCCCACCGCTATCGGTTGGAGACCAAAGGCTGCTCATCCGTCCAAGCCATGTAGGACCACTTCAGTTCTCGCTGGATGCGCCTACTCTTCTGCTGGACAGGCAGCTTCGGCACTACATTCAATGGCGGTCCTCAAGGTCTTTCAGGCCAAGATCCTCGCCTCCACGGACGAATCTGGCCTGGACCCTGCGACCCTCAGGGAGCTGAAGAGTGCAAGTGACCTGGCTCTGCGCTCCACCAAGACCACCGCTCAGGCGATCGGGAGGTCGATGGCCAGCCTTGTGGTGCTCGAGTGCCATTTATGGCTGATGCTAACGGAAATCAAGGACACGGATAAGGTACCCTTCCTTGAGGCTCCAATCTCCCCCAAAGACCTCTTCAGACCAGCGGTTGAAGGATTCGCCGAGCGCTACACGGAGGCACAGAAATCGTCTCAAGCTATGCAACATTACCTGCCAATGTGCTCCAGCTCCGCTGCTGCCTTTAGTCGCCCTAAGTCTACGCCGACTCAGCAGCCCGTGGAGCCAGCACCTGCCGCCGCCGTTCAGCCTGCTAAGACTCAGCAGACGCGAGGGTGCTCCCGCTCAGCCAAATGCTATCCCCTTCCTAAGCGCCAGGGACCCCGACCCAAGATAGCGTTGGACCCGGCGCCCCAGGCATCTTCCTGATCTGCGAGACAGCGGCAAATTGAATCAAGGAGCGGACATGTTATCAAGGAGCAATGTCCCCTCAGAGGAGTGGACCCTCCATCCGCAGATGGTTCAGAGAATCTGGGAGAACTTCGAGGTAGACCTCTTCGCCTCAGAAGACAACTCTCGTTTGGTCCACAATTGGCCCAGCCTCCTTCTTTATGCATTTCCCCCAATCACCCTGATCCCACAGGAAATCAAGCGAATCAGGGAACAGAGACAGAAGGTTCTCCTGGTGGCCCCTCTCTGGAAGAACCAACTGTGGCTATCAGAGTTGACCCATCTGTTGGTAGCGGCCCCTTGGCCCATTCTGTTGAGACGAGATCTCCTCTCTCAAGCGGACGGGACAATATGACACCCTCAGCCTGAATTGTGGGCCCTACACCTCTGGTCACTCGACGGGAGCCTTCAAGCCTCCCAGAGCGAGTTTTAAACATGATTTCGGAGGCTAGAGCCCTGTCTACGAGATGCCTCTACGCCCTTAAGTAGTCTATTTTCTCCGCTTGGTGCCTAAACCGCGGCGAAGACCCTTCTACCTTCGATCTGTCAGTGGTGTTGTCATTCCTGCAAGAGCTGCTGGATAAGGGACGCTCCCCATCCACTCTCAAGGTTTATGTAGTGGCTATAGCGGCATCACTGTATACCGGACAGTTACAGCGGATGACTAACTCAATTCTAAATGATGACATCCTTTGAACAATGAATTTAAACTTCTGCCATCTAGACGCAGATTTGCATTTCCGTATTGTAGAACTAAGCGGTATAAAAACAGCTTTGTGCCACCAGCTATCACTCATTTGAATAAGGATAGGCCTTAGGAACATTGTTATTTATTAATTTTTTGGTAATTTATTGTTTTTAGTCTAGGCAGTTTTTTAGTGATGCTGGGAACATTAAAGCACTTTTATCATATATGTTGGTTAATGTTTGTGGTGTCTGTAAAATGTGAAAGATGTGAGAACTCATAACACTGCAAACCTAGTCTACCTATGGGTACAAATAAAGTGAACCTGAACCTGAACCTGAACGGGCGCTTGTGAAGGGCCCGATTCAAGACTCGCAGATCCAAGATAGGTCGAAGGCCACCGCTTTTCTTGGGTACGATGAAGTAAGGGCTGTAAAACCCCTTCCCCATCTCGGCTGGAGGGACTGGCTCGATTGCATCCTTTGTCAACAGGACAGCAATCTCCTTGCGCAAGACAGAGGCATCTCGGACTGCCACTGAAGTTTCGAGAACGCCATTGAACTTGGGAGGTTGCCTGGCAAACTGAATCGCGCAGCCGAGTCGAACCGTCCGAATGAGCCAACGGGACGGGTTGGGCAGCGCAAGCCACGCCCCCAAACTCCGTACGAGTGGCACCAAAGGGACAGTCGACATACCCGCAGTGATGCAGCGATGGGGAGTTGAACTGGGTGGCCCAGAAGGCGTCGCGTTCTGAGTCATCACAGCAAAACTCCCCGTGTCCCCAGAGGGACTGACCAGAGATGCGTGGAGAGGCATTGCGTCTCCGAACCGTGACCTCTCAGCCACTGGCAATAGGGGGCGTCGTGGGTGAGAGTGAGGAAGCAGTGTGTCGCTCACTGACGACCCACGAGCCTTGCAGCCTGGAGGAAAAGGAAACTGCTCTTTTTTTGAGAATGTGGTTACAGCTGGTCGTTGAGCCAGCGGCGGAACAAAAAGAAAAGGAAAAAGAAGATTCTCCGCCCGGCCCTCCTCCGGGGGAAGGAGCGGCGCTTTCTCCGCCACCTCCTGAAGAGCAGTCTCCCACATCTCCTGGTTGCCCTGTCAGGGCTGCTTCATAGTCTTCTTAGAGGACTTAGCGGCCGGATGCGACACGGGGGGCGTCGCTGTCAGTTGCTGTGCGCAGCTCCTGCATCAACCTCAGGTCGGTACTGCATTTGTTTTAACGCCTTGGCTTGGTGTACCTGCAGGATAGCCATGGCATGCAGGGTAGAGGCAGCCTGGCCCGTGGCACTGTAAGCTTTGGCAGCGAGAGCCGCCGACAGCTTACAGGCCTTGGACGGGAGACGTAGACGATTCCTCCAAGTGGCGGCGTTTTGCAGGCACAGGTGCAACAGAGGACAGGAAACGACCGCATCCAAAAGGACACGGACGAAACGGCATCTTGAAAAAGATGCGAATCATCCGTGATTTGCTCTTTTAGCTGAAGCCAGGCAACTGCTCTTTTAGCTGAAGCACCCAGGGGAATCGCTGATGACAGACACCGCTGTAAAGTGCCGTAACACCAACCAGGAACAGCCCTCCGAACACAAAGATGAATGGCTTTGTAGTGAATATATAATATCAACTACTCGGGTCCAAAGCAAAAATCTGAAGAGTGGATGCACCTGTCGCATATTTATACCTGTATGCACGGGGAGTGACTCAGGTATGCAAAATACAAAAAAAGAATAACAAAATATTTAATGAAACAGCAAAAGTGTACAAAATACCAATACTAGATGTTTGAAGCATAGAAGGTTCAAAAGAATAGAATGTATTTGAAATAGAAATCTTTTGTAACATTAGAAATGTCTTTTGAATAGCTGTTACTTTTGATACATTTTACTGATCCCCCAAAATTTTGAACATTGTATTTTTTAAATATTATATCACTTGTTTTAAAAATGTAATTGTTTATTATTTAAATTGACTTTTTTATGATTGATTTTACTTTTTTATTTTCATCTATTGTGTTTCCTGTATTGTGTTTATACTCAGTATAGTATTATTACCATTGATAGTGACTTGAGATTTAAAAAAGGCTCAAACCAGTGTGTACAATGAAAAAAAATTGTTTACCCCCAAAAAATATTTTCCAAAATCTTTGAACCCTATTTATATATACATACCATTCAAATGCTTAGGGTAAGTATGTTTTTCCCCCAAACAAACTAATACTTTTATTTAGCAAGGATGCATTAATTAGATCAAAAGTGACAGTAAAGACTTTGTCACATTGTTACAAAAGAAATTCTAGATCAAATAAATGCTGTTCTTTTGTGAAGGATCATGTGACACTGAAGATTGGAATAATGGCTGTAATTACATTTAAAAATATTACTGTTTTACTGTATTTTCTATCAAATAAACACAGCCTGAGTAGGCATAAGAGACTTTCAAAAACATTCATATATTTAACCAACCCCAATCCTTTGAACAGTAGTGTATTATAATAGTCTTGCTAATAGAAGTAGACTCATTTTTATTTCCACCATTACCAGGAGACCATCTGCTTTCCCTTACTCTGCTTTCACAACAAACAACAAACATAAAAACCTCACATAAAAAGCTAATGTATAACATTTAAAATGTTAGATGTACTGCACTTGTGGTAATGCAATCAAATTACTCTGTATCAATAACAGATATAAGCTGCATGGTAAAATGGGCCAGTTATATGGCATTACAGTATAAAATATGAGGCAGCTCTAAGACACTTCAGGGGCACATTTAAAATCTCTTAAGTCTATTTTACACATTATGTTAAGTATATTTGGGAAAATTTAAGAGATACAATAAATATAAAAACAAAGGTTTTTAAGTAGACTTACACTAAATTGACGATAAAGGCCGGAGAGATTTTTAGGAAGAGTGTGGCTCATCTGTGAGGGGCTGAATGATGGTGTTGGTTCTCTGGCTATAATTAGGGTTACCACAGAAGCAGCTTCCTGAAGGACCTGGACAGCTTGCTCCTGTGTTACAGAGGATTTAAACAGCTTGCCATTCACTGCTAGAATCTGATCACCCTCATGTAGACGTCCATCACTAAGACAGAAGAATAGGATAATGGATGGTTTCAAATCAATCTATGCCGCTGTCCAAAATAATGCACTTCAAATCAATTAAGTTACGGTATTCTGTACTTGCATCCTTGTCAGTTTATACCTGCATGCTACAGAGTCCCGCTGAATCTTCTGTATGAAGATACCATGACCTCCACTGCTTTCAGTCTCCAGACCAATAATGCTGATGCCTAAAGCACTTTCACTCTTCTCCAGGTCAAAACTAAGCACAGTCCGACCCTGAAAGAGCAATAAATACAAGAGATAAGAAAGAATGGATTCAAACTGTTGGTTTTAGGAGATGTAGTGTTGGAATTATAGTATTTCTGAAAATTTGACACGCATCTCAGTTAGTTTAAAGGTTTTTGTTTTCTGAGTTATGGTGTTACCTGGGCCATGGACTGCAGCACTGAAATGTTCTCTGTGATGAAAGGATCAAAAGTCACATGATTGAAGAATCGACATCGGTCATTGCGCCGCTGGGCCGAGAGGTAGGAGTCTCTGTACCTCAGATTGCATGCAGGGTGGGAAGTGCTCACACCATCTGCATCATCACTCATAGACTGAGATGGAGGCATTCTGGGGGAAACCTGTAAAACACACAGCTAGAGTAATATAGCTGGGTTGCACTAGCTGTATACTAGACAATATTAAGACAAGATTTATCAAATAATATGGTGTTTACCTTTACTGATCCTTGTGTACTTTAGTTTTGGGGCAAGATTTACTAACAGCTTGCGCAAGCGCAAATCGTTTTTTGACGTTAAAATAGTAGGCTACTGTCATAATTTACTAAAGACACGCCGTGAAGAAATAGCATTGAAAAGGCATGGTCACAGAGTTATTTTTCCGGCTGACATTATTGAATATACATTTGTAGGAGTTTCACTTTCAGATGCAAAATTTATGGGATGAGAGTATTAAAATTAATCACGCAACATAATTTACTAACGTTTGCGCTCGTCAAATTACTGGTATTTGTGCCATTATTTAACACCCCAAAAAAGCATGTCTTAAACTATTTTGCACCTGTGTCATAAGTACATCACCCGCACCTGATGAGCATCGGCTCTGCTTATTTGTGATTATGCTAATTTGTGCTGCGCTTGATATATTGCATTGGTCGATATGTAAATGAGATGTTGTGTCTGTGTTCTTTAATTTGTGTGGTTGTCAGTAACTCACCCGCAGAAATTTCCATGCCCATCGGCGCTGTTTTGGAATTGCGCTCTCACGCTAATTTGCCCTGATTAGTAAATCTGGCCCTTAGTCTTTTAAATCTCTCATGTCACTATTAACAGTAATAATATATGGAGTATAAACACAATACATGAAACACAATAGATACAAATTATCATACAATTTTTTTAGATTAAAATAATAAACATTTAATTTTTTTAAACAATTTATATAATTTAAAAAAATACAGTACCACTAAAAATGCTGGGGTCAGTAGAACTGATCTAAAGTTAGTAATACAAAAGATATTTATAGTGTCACAAAAGATTTCTATTTCAAATCAATACTGTTCTTTTGAACGTTCTATCCATCAAAGATTCAAAATTTTAAGCAGCACAACTGTATTCAAAATTTTTGAGCAGAAGTCAGCATATTATAATAATTTCTGAAGGATCATGTGACACTAAAGACTTGAGTAATGGCTGCTGAAAACAATTTTTTGACATCACAGGAATAATTCAAAAATATATATATATATATTCAGATAGAGAACAGTTATTTTGAATTGTAATATTTCACAATATTACCGATTAACTGTATTTTTCATCATTTCATGAAGCCCCGTTGAGCATAAGAGTCTTTCAAAAACAAAAACAAAAAACAACATACTGGAAATATATACATAGACAAACAGCTGGTAGGAGAACGTGACAAAGAAAGAGCAGTGTTTAGATTTGTTTCATGCTGGAGAGCTGCTAACAGCTGTTATTCACATAATGGTCTCTCCTAAAATAAAAACAAGTGTAAATGTGAACATTGCAATAAAAGTCTAAATGATTTAAGTCTGTCGGGCAAAGCATTAGCTCATTGTTATAATTCAGTCAGTCTGCCAAAAAAACGTTTATTCTAACTTGGTTGGTCAAAAGCTTGAGTATATATTTAGCTGAAACAAAGGGTTATATTTCAAAGGGTTATATGCACAAATATTTAGTAGGGTACAAGCCAGGGCCATCGCTAAAATTGATTTAAAATATTGTGCTTTTTAGCTGTTTTACTCAGTTACTGTATTTAAGCTTTAACTGACTTCAGAGTGTTAGTGCAACAGACTTAACTGCAGAAAGAGTACGAGAGAGTGTCTGTCACTTTCTATTTGACGTGTGGTGGTCAGGTTTAACATACTAACATTTTTCTTGATTAAAATATAAAAATGTTTTTTTCAAAGGTCAGGTTTAGGGGCAGGAAAAAGAAAACCATTAGCTCAGTTTAAAAGTCCAAATGGAAAGTCAAAGGAAAGTCCTCACCATTACAGAAACGTGTGTGTTACTTGTTGACCCCGGCCTCTCTCCCTATTCAGCACAGATTAAGTGGTCAGCTCAGGTAAGTAGCTTATACAACCTCAGTTTGGTCCTTGCTGCTGTTTAAAGAGAATCATCTCTCTAAATACATCACACACATGATCTTGCACTGTGAGCTGTAAGGTCTTATATAGATAGGTGTGTGGCTTTCCTAATCAAGTTCAATCAGTATAATCAAACACAGCTGGACTCAAATTAAGGTGTAGAACCATCTCAAGGATGCTCAGAAGAAATGGACAGCACCTGAGTTAAATATTTGAGTGTCACAGCAAAGGGTCTGAATACTTAGGACCATGTGATATTTCAGTTTTTCTTTTTTAATAAATCTGCAAAAATGTCAACAATTCTGTGTTTTTCTGTCAATATGGGGTGCTGTGTGTACATTAATGAGGAAAAAAAATTTACTTAAATGATTTTAGCAAATGGCTGCAATATAACAAAGAGTGAAAAATTTAAGGGGGTCTGAATACTTTCCGTACACACTGTAAGCACTTACCAAGGGTACACAATCAGACCTCTTCTTACAAATAATATTCAAGTATGCAAATCTATATTTTGATTTAGAATGCTCATCTGAATACATTGTGTATTATGTTAAAAGGGTATTTAATCATGTTAATAACTGTTGCTTCAAATATTATTTATGAACCAAATGTAATCTTTTAATTCAACGTATTAAAACAATATTTATGCTGATATATTTTCTGATGAAATTTGAATCAGAAGACATTATATTTTTATTGAATACATTACAAGCTCTTGAGGATACAGCGAGACACTTCCAGAATTAATTCTTGAAAGAATTAATTGTTTGGCAACCAAAAAGTCAAACAAAAAATCTAAACCCATTTCAAAAAGATGACAAAAACTAGTGTACAAAAAAGGTCTATCATGGCTGACCATATGCCTCAACAGCAGGCAAACAGCACAGCTGCAATTCTGTTTTTATTCCTGCTCATTGAAACCTATAATTAAAATAAGCGCTTGAAGTATAACCAGTGTAATCAACTATTTTCCTTTATATGTAAATGTCTCATTACATTTGCTCCCAAACACGTGGTTGAAAAAACAAGCCTATTACATCACAGAATGCAGAAAGGAAGTGATAAGCTTGATTAAAGAATGACTCATATAAACAACTTATGCTTGTGATTATCCATGGCAAGTGGCCAGACCAATGCACAATGAGCACGAGGATTATCTGATATATAGTTTTGCTGAAGTAGCTACATCTCATCGCATATTAGTGAACCCATAAGCATGCAGTTTTTCATGACAAACAGCCAGTTTAGTGCTTCATTTATTGGAGTTGCTCATCTGGCCTCTGCTGCTCCTCTCATTTTGGCCTGCTAGAAGATTTGAACATAATCAATTGTGGTTGTACCAAATAAATCTGAATGTAACATCTACCTTGTCTATTTTTATGATGATATCTGAGAAGCTAAATTACCTGAGCTGCTCTTTGAAAGCTTGGGATAACACAGGCCATTTTCAAAAGATCATTTCCCATCATTACTCTGCACCATAACACACAGATACACACACACACACACACATACATATAGCTCACATACTGTGTGAACCCAGACTACCTTTGAGACTCTTTAACCTAGTATCCTTGAATAACCTCTCATGTCAGCCTCTCACTCATATCTGCTGGGCTTCTTTGACCTCTTTATGCTTTGGAAATATAGTCCCCTGGGTCATTGTGGTTTTAAACTAAGCACAGTAAAAGTCAAATGTCAAATACAAGCTCAACTTGAAGTTCAACGCATTGAACAATTTTTACTGGAATATTCAGGGGAATATCCAATACAAGACTCAGTCTACAGCATTTATGCTTAAAGGGGTCCTATTATGCTCTTTTACAAAGTCTTGATTTTGTTTTGGGGGTGTACTAGAACAGGCTTTCATACTAGGATGTTTGAAAAACACATTGTTTTTCACATATTTTACGTTATTACAACACCTCTCTCCCCAGTCTGGCATGAACGGCTCGAATAGTTCCTGTATCAAATGAATGCCCGGCTTCTGATATACGAAATGTGCAGTGATTGGTTAGCCGGGCCAGTGTGTGTTGTGATTGGTTAGCTGGGCCAGTGTGTGTTGTGATTGGCAGCACTCAGCGCCTGGTCGGGAAATTTCATGCTCCTTACCATAGCCGCCTGCGAGCTTCAGTGTAAATATTGCGTCAAAATCAAATCAATTTGAGCATGATTTAAAACCGGATGATTGTAACCACTCTAAGTTTGTCTGCCTTGGGAAAGCTAGCGTGTCTCCGACATAGTGATAACACTTGTTGCCTTCTCTAGTGCAGCTCAACGAGGTCTCGTCCCATTCGTCGATATTTGTGATATTAAAAATATCTCCTTTTGAAGTGGACTTTGAACTTTGTAACTTTGCAGATCTTTTTTATGCTCAAACAGCAACATTACAGACTAACTAAAGTTGAAAAAGTGAAAAAGCATAATAGGACCCCTTTAATGATTATTACCACAAAAAAAGTCAACTTTCCCATCGTTTGTTAAAAAAGAAAAAAAATCACAGTTACAATGGAAGACTTAAAATGGAAGTGAACAGGGGCTATTTTTGGAGGATGTAAAAGCAGAAATGTGAAGTATAGACCTTATGCGCCAGAGAAACAAGCACGCAGCCATCTTTGGAATGTTGTCTTTGAACTTCTTTGAATGTCTTTGCAGTAGCTCTGTATATTTCTTTGGCATTGCTGTCAAAGAGTAATTAGCTGGTCAAACTGATTTACTTATTGTAGAGTTAAATATATAGTTCAGTCATGAAACTCTAGATGGTGCATTCTGACGGGGTGTTAACGTAACTGATGATATTCAGAGAGTTAAACGACTTGGCACAAGCTGATTGGTTCATGCTGCATATGCAGCCAATGAGCTTACTGCCTTGCATTTATATGGCTGGCTAGCATTCACTTGACATTCCTGCAGCGCGCTTTCAGTGTTCTCTGAAACCCTACAGCTTCCCCAGATCCACCTGAATAGATCTGCTATTGGGTTATTTTATATGCTATTTGTGCAGCAGCAGCATGTCTTAAATACTCACGGCACCGTATCGCCATATGCATTGGCAGTAGCAAGTTCCTGTACTTGCTTGCAGCAGCAGCAATAATCTACAACTACCGCAATAACTAACAGCAGCAGCAATTCAGCAGCAGCAGTGTAGCAGATCTGTTCCACCAAGACCTAATACATTAACACTGTCATTTCCATGCTAAAATCTTCATTTACATTTACATTTACATTTACATAACTGATGATATTCAGAGAGTTAAACGACTTGGCACAAGCTGATTGGTTCATGCTGCATATGCAGCCAATGAGCTTACTGCCTTGCATTTATATGGCTGGCTAGCATTCACTTGACATTCCTGCAGCGCGCTTTCAGTGTTCTCTGAAACCCTACAGCTTCCCCAGCTCCACCTGAATAGATCTGCTATTGGGTTATTTTATATGCTACTTGTGCAGCAGCAGCATGTCTTAAATACTCACGGCACCGTATCGCCATATGCATTGGCAGTAGCAAGTTCCTGTACTTGCTTGCAGCAGCAGCAATAATCTACAACTACCGCAATAACTAACAGCAGCAGCAATTCAGCAGCAGCGTAGCAGATCTGTTCCGCCAAGACCAAATGCATTAACATTGTCATATCCATCACCATGCTAAAATGTTCAGAGAGTTGTCATGATTGAACGAAAGTTATCATGTGCATTGTAATGTTTGAAGCAGATGTCATAAATTTCACTAGACCGGGAAGATTTTAAAATGAGTGGTTCATTCAGGTCTGTAAGGTCTTAACTTCATGCTGTGGAAATACAAACCAGAAAGCAGAAGACAAAAAGCTACATAAGGTCTATATAATTTTATAAGTTAATAACTAAGGTATCATTCTTTGAACAAAAAAATTCTGCTGTCGAAATGCAATGATCTAAATAGGAATATGTGCTAGGTGAAAGGTGAAACATTTCTCCTAGCAGATTTTTCAAATGATTCAGGTTTGATTATTTCAAGATTTTCAAACTTTTAACATCCAAATTGGCAACTTTGATCAATATAAGTTGTTTATTTTGGAAGTGACCTCAGTAAGCGATATTTCATGCACTATTGATAATGAACAACAAACCTTCTTAGCTCACGAAATTTCAAATAAGTTTAGCTACTCTGCTGTTCATTATTTGAACTGTAAAGTTGTTTAAACCACAATTTTTTAAGTGTTCTTTATGGTTAATAGTGATTCATTGTCATGGCAACAAAGTTGTAAAAATTAGGTAGAACTTTACACAGCTTTTCATTTCACACGAAAATCATGTTAACATGCATATTGCTTATGTCTTGTGGCTTTACTATTGAATCAAACTATGGACTGGCCCCATTCACTTTCATTTTAAGTGCCTCACTTACCACAATATTTTTCTTTTTTAATGCAAACATTCTGCCACAAATGTTGTCACTTGGGCGTGATCTGAAATATTCCTTTAAGAAAGGTTTGTATCATGTTTTTTTTCAACTAATAATAGACCCGGAGCCAGAGATGATGTAAGAGGTGAATCAAAGCACTGTTCACATCAAGGAATATCTGAAATGATGCTCCCTGGGTGTATAAATGCCTTATAAAATATATGTGCATGTAAATGTCTATTTCAGGTAATAGTGGTGGAGCTGGATATCAGCATAAGATGTACTTTTGTTCAATTCTGCATTTCGCAAGATTCAGTTATGATGTTAATGACAGAATCATGCTGTTTGATGTATCATAATTATGCAGCTACTATCAGCCATAATACATAATATGATAATTTCTATGATAATTGACATTTCTTTACTGAGTTTAATTTAATAAAAAAAATTTTTAAATGATGGTAAAGCCCACTGTTTAATGTTTTGGCATATTTTAGTGTTAGTGTATGCTTTTTTGTAGAATATCTGAAATGATGCTCCCTGGGTGTATAAATGCCTTATAAAATATATGTGCATGTAAATGTCTATTTCAGGTAATAGTGGTGGAGCTGGATATCAGCATAAGATGTACTTTTGTTCAATTCTGCATTTCGCAAGATTCAGTTATGATGTTAATGACAGAATCATGCTGTTTGATGTATCATAATTATGCAGCTACTATCAGCCATAATATGATAATTTCTATGATAATTGACATTTCTTTACTGAGTTTAATTTAATAAAAAAAAAATTTAAATGATGGTAAAGCCCACTGTTTAATGTTTTGGCATATTTTAGTGTTAGTGTATGCTTTTTTGTGATGCACTGTGGTGATGATGATGATGTTGATCTCTGACCTGTTGTTTCTCATGCTGTTGTTCAGTCTCTTGCATGTTGAGTATCTGGTGAAACAGGGGACTCTGTAAGACACTCTTGAGCAGACTGAGTTTTTCCTCAGCAGGCAGTTCTCCCCTCTTCTTCAGTCTCTGCTGCAGCCGCTCCACTGCCAGCAAAGCACGCTGTGTGTCTACACACACACACACACACACACACACACACATAAATATATTAATAAAATGGGCAAATGCAATGACATCAGCTCATAACCCACATGAGAGTGTATACAACAAGCTACACGTAATATTCATACATCCCTTGCAAATATTTTAATATCATAAATTGAGAAAGAAGACAGATTGAGACACATGATATTGTGGTAGGATTTCATACATACCCATCATTTTCAACTCTCTGAGTACTGTATTACTGCCACTCTCTTTTTGACATCTGCAAAAATACAAGCACATTCATGCCAGGGCCTTCAGACATAATGGCAATTAAACTCTTGAAAATATTCAAGACACAAAACAACAGAAACAAACAGATTTGTCCCTTTCACATCCTACTCAAAAGGGATTTGCGTGGATTGCAGCATCTTAATCACTAACTGGCATGCACACCTGACAGTCCTTACCTGTGACAGCAACGGTGACGTTTGGCATGAAGTGAGAGCGACGCAATTTGGCAGCGCTCGCCGTCTACCTCTGTAACCGATGACAAGCTTTATGAATTGCATTGATGGTTCACTTCATATCTCGCTGATCGCTCTGATAACGCCTGCTGTAATCTGTTATTCATGCTGATGTAATCTGGGTTGGAGTCTCGCACCTCTACGGGAGGTTCTCGCGATCTGCACGCGCTCATCGTGTACTGCGAGAGCGCTCGTGTTTGCGCCGCGCTGCTCCGGTAATGCGCTTACCGGGGAGTCTTAGCAGCTGTAAACGGACTTAAACTGTGAACGACGGTAATTACCCGGGACAGATGTCCTCACAACCTACCTGATAGGGCTGTAAGCGCCTGGCGGTGGCCGGTGTTGTGGACAACAATAGTAACTAAGAGAAAACAAAGCAGGAGGGTTATTTTAAACGGGTGAATCACAGAGAAGCTGATAGATGTGTAAATATGAAAATATGTAAATAGGCTACAGCAGTAGTTCGGAACCAGAGGGCCTCGGCAAACCTCCAACGGGGTCGTAAGATTTAACCTAAAAAAAGTCATATCCTAACACGCTAGGAATCATGCATTTTATTTGTTTAAAGACAAATTGCATCAAGTGTAGCCTACACAAGTTTATTATTTTCAATATAACATCAGGGTGCGAATTACGGGGCTATAATTAGAGACCAAATGAGGTTAAAAAAGGTTTACGTTTCAACCACAAAAGCTCTTTTACAATTAGTGTGCTGTCTGCATCGGTTTCACAGAAAAACTGCACTGCCAGACTTATCAAGTTATTAGGCTATACATTTATACCTCGCAATATCACAAAAAAAATCGTTAGTGTTTTGTTTAAAACGTCTTTAAGACAGTTGAGGGCCACTATTAAACCTGATGGCGGACAAAATAGATGAAAACATTAGATGATCAATATTCGTTGTCCATTATAATTTTACAAATGTTGCGATTTTAAAACAAGTTATCCATTATTAATAGAGCATGTGCTCTGTCTCAAAGATACGGACAACAACAGCAGTTTACTCAAATAAATCCGATAGCCAAAAATAGGTCAAATCAGCACGCTGGTTCAGGTGTAGCCTAACTGACAGCTGCGATGCCGTTTCTTGGATGTTTTATCGCTTGTTGTCTATCAGTCTTCATTCGTTACCGTAAGGATAAATAAACGCTGAATTCTCAGCCCACATTTACCTTCAGATCAACAGGTTTCCCCCGCAGCTCATGAAAAACTGCTTTTCGAGGACGCCTCATCGGATGATTAAATGCCGGGGGGTCAATTTTAAACATTTTCAAATGTCGAAAGTCGCATTAGAGACAGCCAACATTATTTAGACAGCCTAGGCTTTGCGTGAGAGTGATAACTGGCTGTCACCGCGCATGTCCGCGATGCACCTTTGATCCTCATGAGTTTAATATGGATGTTCAGGCCTCTCCCCCCTCATTTAATGAAATAACAGAGACATCAGCTCTTATTACTTTTGCTCATGAGAGACATTTAAATTGGTGTTTGTCCACAAATTATAATTTGCCAATGTGATATTTTCTATTATGCAATATTTTCCTATTACGATAGTAAAACCTTTTGGAAGCTAACGGCAATATGAATAAGCATTAAATAACTGCAGGACCATTCCATAAAAACTATTTCATTGTGTCTCTCATAGCGGATATAGGCTGTCCAACATATCTGTAAATGAGCACTTTAACACTGTAATTCAGATTATTCAGCATCTCCTTCATTTTATTCTGAATTTTGTTTTGCAGAATTATGGTAAAATGCTTTAAATTATTTTCACATCTGTTTACACGTAATTGTGACAGAAATGGCATGATAACTTGCAAATTTATAAAAAAGAAAAAACTCAACATACATTGAATGAATACACTGTAAGTAGCCTATTCAGGACCTTTGTGATGACATTTGAAATTTAGGCACTTCCTTTTTCTCTGAATAATTTGATTGGAGTCCATGGGAAATTCAATTTGACATGATTTCGAAAACAGTAAAATGTTCCTGGATCAACATCCTTGTTGATCCTGGAACAACATTCCAAGCAACCAATCAGAAATGAGGGATACGTTTACAGGAAATGTCAGTTTTAGCCTTACAGCCAGAGTTAGGTGCTTCTACACCCTTGTTATTCAGCTATCATTTCCCTCTGATTTTAGGGATAAATCATGGGTAGGGGTAGGGATAGGGTTAGGTCTATGTTTTGGACAATTATGTTGATCCAGGAACATGTCTTACTTGGCAAAGTCACGGCGACCATTGTATAATATAGATAGGTGTGTGTCAATATATGGTATATATTATTGTCTTATTTCAGTATACATAAGTTGTATCCCTGGGTTATTCATCAACACTTACCACCATAAGTCTTATTAGAATGATGTAAATAAAATGTGGTTGGGTAAATAAATAAATAAATTCTACTTTCGTGATTGGATATAAGGAGACTGTCTTTGTCTTTATCTTATATTTTATTACGTTTGTCAGTGAACAATAGCCTATTAAAATGCTTAAATCTCAGCCAGCCCTTTTTTCATGATTTTAGGCCTACACTGTAAAAAATTCATGTGAAATCTACAGGAATTTACTGTGTTTGTGCACAGGAAATGACTGTATACTAGTTCACAGTAGAATACCATAGTTTCAGTCAAAATTGCAGTAATGTAAGAAGTACTGTGAGTGTCACAGTAACCAGTAATGTCATGTAGAAAATCACAGTAACTTCCAATGTACTGTAGAAAACACAATAACTAATTATGTACTGTAGAAAATTACAGTAACCAACAATGTGCTGTAAAAAAATAATGGATATTATTTATATCCAGCTTAGTTTTCACAAGAGAGCGGGCGCGACTATTTGTAACTTGAATGTATTTGGCTTCTGGTGTCTTTCGCTTCCAGTTATTTTACCTGTACAAAAACAGCCCATTATACTGCTTCATACAAACTTATAATTACTATCATATTATTTTAACTTCAGTATCATAATCATAAACTCACCCCCCAGAATGCGATTTAACTGTACTGCCATACACTAGGGTTTTCTGAAACCCAGCCACTGGGATAGAGGAGGAAAACATAGTAGCCTACACTGGCAGCTGGGTTTCCAGCCAATGACTGCATTTAATTTGACCTCATTGTAATTCAATTACATTTTAGGTTTGAATAGAGGATACAGGAAGCAAATGTATTCTTTAATAAAAATACAAATAAAAAAAATGACCAGAAGGCCATCATGATTTTATTGATTTCAACACGTCTAGCAATAAGTGAAGAATGATAAATGAAGCTTGTTATAATGATGAGCAGTTAACTGTGACTGTTGATAAATGAATATTTATATTTAAATCGTGCAACATGCATTATTTATTTCATATTCATTTTCATGAATTTTTTTTATTTGGGCTGAACCAATATAACTAAACAGCAATGGAGCCTATCGGTACCGATAGTCTAGTGGTTAGTGCACTGACATATAGTGCAACTGTGTCTCTGGTGACCTGTGTTTGATTCCTGGCTTAAGATCCTTTGCCGATCACATTCCCCACCAATTGTTACACTCTCCTGTGTAATAAGCCCAAAAAGGCAAAAAAAATAAGAAAAAGTTGCACTTGCAAATGAGTGTTACAGTTACATGGTTGTACAGTAAGTTACTTGTCACTTGCTGCCGGTTAATTACTGTGCTTTTTATACAGTAAGTTACTTGTCACTTGCTGCCGGTTAATTACTGTGCTTTTTATACAGTAAGTTACTTGTCACTTGCTGCCAGTTAATTACTGTGAATTTCACAGTCAGTTTCTTACAGTGTACATTAAACTGATTATTAAAAACTGGACATGTGTAGCGCTATCATTATATTTTCTTTATTTTAATCTTTTAAATACATTGTAGTGTCCTGGGCCTGTCTACAAAGGCTTGACTACATGTGAACCTTGAACTTTTATAGGGTAGGCCTACTTAGACATCGCTGAATCCTAACATCATTACAATTTTTTTAATTAGTTGGTGTGGCATTGCAGTTTATTACGCAAACACGTGCTTTTAAGGTTTTAAAAGCTTAAAGAAATTTAAAGGGGAAAAAAACATTTCAAAAGCGAAAAGTCACACAGTGCACTCCTTTCTCTGAATGACCCCGCGGGTGATAGGAAGGTCGACCCTACTACTGTGCGCGCTGTCGGCCACCAGAGCGTGCTCAAGTCCTCCCAGCTCCAGATTTACCGCCCTCTCTTATCCTCCCTTTCTCTCTCTTTCCCCCCCACCCTCCATCCTTGAATCAAGCATCACTTTGCTTCCAAATTGGCTTGTCATTTTCTCTCTCGCTCGTTCCCTAGCTGTCGGTTCGCACGGACGATCTAGCGATGGACTGGCGCTGATCTCGCGGATTGTGCCATCGCTGGAGCCACTCTGCGCATTTCCCTCTCATTCTAGAAAAACACTGATCGGGATACAACACAGGGCTCTGATCCCCCGTGTCCACCATAGATCCATTGGGTTTGGGGGACGAAGGATAGGCTACTCGATATATCCTGTTCCTCACCGTGCTTCTTCAGGAGGCTTCGAGCCTCGTAAAGGCGCATCTGGGAACGAAAGCTCAAAACATCATCTGGGTGTTTTAGTCACACACGGACAAACTGTCACGGGAATTAAGGAGCATTCCGAGATCACACAGCCCGATGCTGTTGAACACATCCGGAGCCGACTATTATTCCGGTGCTTTATAAGATGCGGTGAGTCAATGCTTTCTTAATTTCTTAAGGGCCAATAAATCAATAACCGATGGACGTTTGAATGGCAGTGGCAGCGAGATGCTGTTAGTGTACACTGCTCAAACTCTCCATATCCTACAGCTGAATTATGTCGTGTGTGTGTGTGTGTGTGTGTATGTGTGTGAGGAGCTTTGGACACAGGATGCTTTTTGCCGTGTGTCGTGCGTGGTGTTTTAATGGGCGTCGGTGTGCGCGCGCGTGTGTTTGAGTGTCCAAGTCGCTGCCTTCAGCTCTGGACGTAACGAAACGATAGCTTTAATTTGTTTATTACA